GTGCTAACAGACTATTACTGAATAATAGACTGCCACTCTCTAAGGGCACAGTGTGGAAGAAGGGAAAGACTGCTAAATCAGAATCCAGAAAGCTGAGGGTTGGCCCAGCTTTTCTTTTAACTCAGTAGGTGACTTTAGACATATCTTTCCCCTCTCTGGGACTGTTTCCTCTTCTGTGTAGTGGAGGTAGAGGATTGGACTAGAGATAATCACTAAGAATCCTTTCAGTTCAAAAAATGATCTGACCTCAAACTGTACCTTTTCAATAAAGTTTATTTCTACATCAGGAATTAATTAATAGATAGAAAATAAGGTTGTAACAACAATGTATAATCTGATTACAGCACCATCAGAAAAGAGTCATGAAGAAACAGACAGTACCAAGGAAGAAGCTGCTAAGATGGAAAAGGAATATGGAACCCTGAAGGATTCTACAAAAGATGATAACTCCAACCCAGGAGGAAAGACAGATGAACCGAAAGGTACAAATTTGACAGCTCTAGGTTAGCAATGCAATTAGTGAAGCAAAAGCTTTCACTACTCAAGGTAGGGTGATCCAAAGAGCAAGCCCCACCAAAATCTGAGAAATTAGCACAATCTGTATAAAAAAGATTTGGCATGTAGTACTTTTATTTGAAGAGTAATCTTTTTTAATGGTCTTAAGACTCCTGGGATGGCAAATTGATTTCACCTTTGGAGGGTCTTTAGTGTCCAATGGACTTTTGCGCTTGGGGAGGAATGCTTATGACCATTTGTGCGAGCCATAGTTCTTTAAATTTATTTAACACTCTAAATAGTCACATACTACTTATTCGACAAGGTCATCAAAATTTATGGATTTAACAAAGCAAATTTCCTGAACTATTTAACCAGTGATTGTGATTATATATATCAAATTTCCTTTAATAGCCTATATTATCTGCACAATATAAGATTTACCTCTTCCTAGGATTTTAGAAACTTTACCAGACCCCCAAAGAAAAAGAGACTCAATGAGGTTGTAAATCCTAAATTGTTAACCCTTTGATTTCAGGTCAGAATGTGAGGTCTGGTTATATGGTTCAGTAGTTCAAGCCCCTTTTATTACAAAGTTGTGCTAGGTACGTGTGGAACTTTTACATCTCTATGTCTCAGATAGGTATTCTTTTACTGAAACTCAGTGTCTTTACCAGAATTTGTGAATAGATGGCTTGAACCTACCTTGCTTTTTTGTCATTATGATATATTGACCTCTTTGATGTATTAATAATTGGAACCTTTCTTATATCTTATCGGTGTCTCATTGGTAAGTTCATCCACAGGGATTATTCCCTGGGAGCTGAGGAGTGGGTCAGAGCTCTCTTGGGGGAGAAGGGGTGCTTTTCATTGGTTATTATGTGTAACCATCAGTGGCAATGAACGGATGAACTTTGCTTATTCCTTGTTAAGAGACCGTAAGAGCTCATCTTGTTCATGGTATAGCTCTTAATTTCGAAGGGACTTCTTGGCCCTCTTAAAGTTTCCCCACCCAGTCTCTCCTGCTTACACAAATAGAAGCAGGTTCATAGTCATACTTGATAATAAACCCATGCTTAACAATGTCTGTATATGAAGTAGAAGAGAAACAAACTAGCCATGCATTTAATATCTTGAACCTCAATAACAGCAAAAAAAATTACAAAATATTTCCCTTTTATATCGCTACTACGTTTGTTAATACTTTGCATTAATATTTCCATTTGTTTAAGTTGTTGCAGTTGATGAGGATGATGATTTTATGTTTAAATTAGCATACCTTGAGCAGTAGGAGCTCCTTAAGTTTCTCTTTTGTCCTTTGAACACATAATCTTTCCTTTCTGGCAATAACAGGATATTCTACACCCACTCTGAATTTTCTCTTCCCAAGACTTGAAATCAATTCCCTTCAAGGAGTTCTGGTTCCTTTTTGTAGAAAATACTTGTATAATTAGAGATCGGAACCTGGGTTATATGGATTCAAGTGAGTGGTGATAGCAGTGAAAGACGCTGCTTCAATTTTAGCTATTGAAACTTTTTTGAGATAGGGCTGAAAAAGAATTTTTTCTTTAATATATCAAGTCCATGTTGATTTTGCCTATTCTGTGAAGTTTGTATTGTTTGGATTTTTCTCTAGCATGGATTTCATAGACCATCACAATTTTCTCCTACATTGGCGTAGCTGTTGTATCGACTCTGATTGTTTGGTAGTAGCCTATGTTGAGAAAGGTTATGATGTTGTATCTGGACTTAGGAGGAAAGAGTATTGGAATGATCAATTAATAATGTTTGTCATGAGCAAGGGAAGGTAGAACTGGTGATATATGTACTGTGTTTGGGGACCCTGTAGACCCATCATGCTGTTTTAATAGTTCCACTCAACCATAGATCCACTCTGGATGGATGGTGAACTGTTTTTTTTAATATCTTCTTTTTGAAGTTGTGTTAAAATACACATAACATAAAACTTACCATCTTAACTATTTTTAAATGTACAGTCTGGGTGCACTAAGTACATTCACATTGTTGTGTTACCATCACTACCATCCAATTCTAGAACTCTTTTCATCTTAAAAAACTGAAACTCTGGGCTGGGCACCATGGTTCATGCCTGTAATCCTAGCACTCTGGGAGGCCGAGGCAGGAGGATCGCTTGAGCCCAGGAGTTTGAGACCAGCCTGGGCAATAGTGAGACCTTGACTCTATAAAAAATAGAAAAATTAGCTGGGTGTGGTGCCGTGTGCCTGTAGTCCCAGCTACTCAGGAGGCTGAGGCAGGAGGATCCCTTGAGCCTAGGAGATGGAGGCTGCAGTGAGTAATGACCATGCCCCTGTACTCCAGCCTGGGTGACAAAGCAAGACCTTGTCACCCCACGCCCCACAAAAATAAAAAACTGAAACTCTTTACCCGTTAAATAATAATTTTCTATTCCTCTTCCCCCGAGACCCTGGCAATCACCATTCTACTTTCTGTCTCTATGGATTTGACTACTCTAGGAACCTCATATAAGTAGAAGCATATAGTATTATATTTGTCTTTTGTGACTGGCTTATTTCACTTAGCATAATGTCCTTAATGCTCATCCATGTTGTAGCAAGTGTCAGAATTTACTTCCTTTCTAAGGCTGACTGATACTCCATTGTATGTATATACCATATTTTGTTTATCTATTCATTTGTCTATGGACACTTGGGTTGCTTCCACATTTTGGCTATTGTAAATAATGCTGCTATGAACATGGGTATTCAAATATCTCTCTGATATCCTGCTTTCAATTCTTTTGTGTATATATCCAGAAGTAGAATTACTGAAGCATTTGGTAATTCTATTTTTAATTTTTTGAGGAACCACCATGCTGTTTTCTATAGCAGCTGCACCATTTTAAATTTCTAGCAGCAGTGCACAAATGTTCCAGTTTCTCCACGTTCTTGCCAATACTTGTTATTTGTGGAGCTTTTTGCTTTGTTTTGTTTTGTTTTATCCAAGTGAATGTGAAGTGTAGGATGAGTGGTAAACTTTTTTAAAATAGTTAACCAGGGAAAGAGTGGCCTGTGGCCTGAGACAGAGAGCCAGGAATTGGCAGCACAGAACACAACAGCTCAGTGCAACAGAAACCCAGCATGCCTCAAGCATCCCCTCCGGGAGCAACCCATGTGTAATGATGGTGTTGCCCCAGAACACAGCAAGCCATGTGCTGGGTCCTTTGACCTGCTGGGGCAGCATACTCAGTGCTTAAAACAACCCTTTGTATTGTTGTATAGCTGCGCAAAGATCTCTAGGAATGGGTGCTGACAGGTCTCTTTGTTTCTTTTAAAAAACATTATGTAAAAATTGAATATGAAGGAGGTAATTCTCGCTAGCTCCTCTATTGCCTGTTTAGGATGTGAGTGTTTGGAGACTAATGATAAGTGTGGATTTCTCTTTTCATTAGGATTTCCATCAGATAGTAATGGGCAGAGAGAAGAGTAAAACTCTATCCATTTAGTGTTATTCTTTGTGATGGATCTCCTGAAACATCTGGAAGAGGGTAGGAATTTGGGGTTAAAACTAATCCCCCCCCGTTATTTAGAGAGGTAATTTATTCATATTACCCCTGACCCCATTACTTTGGGATAAGGACAACTGATTCTAATATAGTGTAGAAAAAAACAAACTGAGCTTAAGCCAAGGACTGACATTTCTGAAAAAAAATGAATTAATCCCCAAAAGGAGATACTAAGACATAGACCTTTATATTCACGGTTGCTTTATTGCACTTTTTTCAAGGGCTGTGCTGTTATAAAACTCAGTGAGGAAACACGCATTGTCTCTAGGTAGAAAAATTAAAGCATCCATGTGGGTGAAGGCAGGGTTGTGAGTTTTTTTAATTTTTTTTTTTTTTTTTTTTGAGGGATCTCACTTTGTCACCCAGGCTGGAGAGCAGTGGCATGGATCTTAGCCCTCTGCAGCCTGGAACTCCTGGGCTCAAGGGATCCTCCCACCTTAACCTCCCAAGTAGCTGGGACTATAGGTGCATGCCACCATGCCTGGCTAATTTTTGTAGAGATGGTGTCTTACTGTGTTGCCCAGGCTGGTCTCAAACTCCTGGCCTCAAGTGATCCTCCCATCTCAACCTCCCAAAGTGCTGGGATTATAGGTGTGAGCTACCACACCCAGCCAAGGCAGGGTTGACTGGGTTTCCTGGGACATTATTCAGTAATAAACATTTATTCCAATGGCATGTCTGGCACCGTGCTCTGGCAGCAGCCGCAGAAGGAATAGAAGAACCCATGCCTGCCTTTGAGGACTCGAGCAAACTTTGACATGACTGAGAATAGTTCTTAACTCCCATGTAGCCACGTACAACACAGGCCACATACGTGCAGGCGCATCCCACTTATTGATGAGCCAGGCATGTGTAGAATGTGATCCCTCCAGGAGAGAAAGTTGGAGGACATTACAGAGTAGAACAGGGGATGAGGTAATGGCCCAGCTAAACCACTTAAGGAAATAATTATAAGCAGGACCCACTGGCAGGCATATCTGATGAGAGTTTATTTTGGTCTTGCAACATGAGGTGATGGCCTCATCTAATTCCAGCAAATATTTATTAACCATGCGTAGCATGTGCTGGGTCTTGGGAGGAATATAAATAGGAACAGTAGTAAAAACAATAATAATAACATCACCCTATGTTTATAGCACTCTTTAATTCACAAAGTATGTCTACATGCATCTCATTTCAGGCTTAATGTAAAAAACAATTTCATTACCAATGATGAAAAATGACACCTCTATTCACTCAAAGGTGAATAGAGTTTAGACTATTTAAATTATTGCTTTCTATAGGGATTCACATTAAGAATAATATTTTTAAATGTTGATTTCTAATTGGTGCATTTATTTGAATGATTCCATAATTATTCCTAAATTTAGAGACATGCCAATAAAATATAATTTGTTCTAATTCCATCCAAATCTATAAGTTTGTTTAATTTTTCAAGTAAAT